CATTACGTAATTTCCAACGCGCGTTGTCGGCGCCTCTGATTGCGTTTATTTTGTATTTTTATTTTCAAAATGTATCACTGGCTGCGTTTTTTTTTTTTATGTCTCGCATCTGAAAGTCCAAGCTGACCTTGTGTTGGCTGTAATCAACCAATGGTAAAAGTGGATTCACGCAATCCTGTTGTTACATTGCACTCCCTGCACGGAGGTACTAACGGAAGGGGCCCCGACGCTATTGTTTTAGCTTTGCCATATGATCGTTTGTGAATGTTTGTTCACAAACATTGGTCTCGTTAGCTCTTAGCACCTTCTTACAATGGGTTATGCTCCCGGTTATGCTAATCTTGAGCATTCGGTAATATTCGGAGCATGGAGGTACTAACGGAAGGAGCCACAACGCCTCTCAAGTGGCCATTAGAGCCTCTTAAGTGGCTTATTTCCTTTTGTTTCAACCCAAGTTAATCCTGATAAAGACATTGTCTAGCTCATCTTTGATGTCGTTGATAGTTTGTGATTGCTTACACAAGTAACCAGTTAGCGGAATATGATATAACCTCGCCGATGTTTTAAAGTGACCATATAATATATGTCTAGACACTTTCTCTGCAATAATATTTGTTAGGAGTCCTTAGGATTTTTTGTTGTAGACTCTCGAAATCTTGTTGTTGTTACAGTTGCTAATAATTAAAACATGTGAAATCTGTGAAGTAACAAGTTCCTCTGTTGAATTTCCGGTTGTGAAATAGTATTTTAACCCTCCACAGCCAAACAAACCCAGTGCGCATGTGTGATGAACGTAGTTTCATAATGCGCATTTATTTTATTTTAGTTTTTAAAGTTATTTTTTTTAAATATGTTGGCGTAATTTTTCGGACATTTCAATCTTTCCTGAGGCCTAAAATAGTCTATTAAAGTTTTTATTCAAGAGCGTGTTTATTGTGACTAGCGTGAATGGGTAAGCTTTGTCTGGACAAAAAGCTGTAAAGAATTTTAAATTATTCTTCTAATGCTCAGTTCATCTTTTGAAAACAACTATTTTTTGATTTGAAAAAAAATCATGCCATTTTCCTATCAAAATCCAAGCCAAAAGATCGTACCACAACATCGGCAAGTCTCTTCCGCGTTGCGTCCAATACATTAACATATTTAAATGAGCTATGGTGATTTGAACACATTGCCATCATCCAGCATTTTGATTGGTTAATTAGCGATTTGACCATGCAAGAGAAACATGGCGGATACCCTACCGCATCGAGCGTTTGTATGCGATCGGAATCATTTGCTTACGATGAAACTAAGTTGCATTTTAATTTCATAACAATTCAACGAATTTATTTTTTGTGCGTTATTATAATCACTACTGAGTAATAATCAACAATTGTGAAACGCAGCAGGATTGCGCAACTGTGATCGTTTGCTACTAGCAATGCAGTTGTGTTCGTTTTTATTTGAAACTTCGTTTAAAATATACTTTCGTTACCAATCAATGAAAACAAATGTATTTGACACTGGTCGACAATGTAATGAAATTTCAGGCGGTCTACTTTTTAATTCAGCAAGAATTATTAATTATTGTTAATTCTGCAATATCCCCGGCAGTTTCTTTCGTCTTGTAAAGCCCAAATAAGCGCTCACCAGCCGTAAAATCCCCAGGGCGATTTTTCGGATGGGCGAATTTACGGCAGAATCCGGTATTATATAAAGAAAGTATTATTATGGACATCTCGCGCATATTGCCGATGTTTTATACTGTTTGTAGTTTGCATATGAAAGTGGTTGTTGATGTCCCTCCTATTATTCGACGTCGTTGACAATGCAATAACAATGCCACTCGCACTGTGCACATTTTAGCACTAGATCTAGTGCCGTTTTAGCACTAGATCTAGTGCCGTTTTAGCACTAGATCTAGTACTTTTTCGGATTAGTGCTACTAGCACTAACCACTCGCACTACGCCCATTTCGACACATTTACATACATGAATACACGTATACAATTAAGTATGGTTTTTCCAATATTACGAAACATTGTATTATCCAACATTTGCCAATCAAACAATGAAACAGCTTTACACGATATTCTTTGCACGTTTATGCCCACACATGCAATCTGCTCACCATATACATAATCACCTTGATCTGTTTAGGTGTTCCCGGATAGAGCGATTGCACGGGAAATGATGAAACTACAAGTAAGGTGCGTGTATTATGGATGCGACTGGGACGGATATTTCCTACAGTATAAGGTATGCGATAAATCAAAATCATGATGATTAACCCCAAATTAATGAGGTCTGTTTTATTGTCCTGGGCCTAAAACTGACCGGTAATTAAATATGAACAGATTTTAACATAAAAATAATAAGGTCTGCGCATTGTCGAAGAGAAACTTATGTAGCAAGTTTAATCGAAATCTGACAAGCGATTCTTGAGATAATGGTGAGACAGACAGAAAGACAAGCCGGTAGACTGGTTGGCGATCCGCTCCGCTCAAAAAGCAAGCAACATGTTTTCGGCTGTTGTCGTGGTAGGACATGAACGTGATGATAACGTTGGTTTATATAACTAAAACCGAATCACGTATACGAACTTTGCAAAAAAAAAAAAAAAAATATTCAGTCTTTATTTTATTGTTAGGACGTATTCTGTTGTTAAATTTATTATTTCCAACCGTTTTGCATAGTATTTTTTAGATTGAAGGCAGCATTTAGTTCATTCAAAGTTGGCGCCAGTGATCTCTTATCCGGTGCGCAACGTAGCCAAAATAAAAAGCATGATCATTTTAACACTGCTATTACAAGACTAGTAGGAGGTAATAAATTTGGACGAAAGTATTCAAAAATAAGTTTTTGGCTGTTGCCATGGCAGCGGTGGGCAAAGTTTTTTTTCAATTAGTGACGGTACGACCTGCCTGTCAAGTATGGATAAAATCAGCCAAGCCAAAAAAATCACAGAGCAGTTAAAAGCTGTTGCTGGTGAAAAGTTACCCCAACATTCAGGTAATTTTCTCTGTAATGAAAATAGACATAATAAACAGTAAATTTATGCCAACACTCAAGCTGAGTAGAATGAGCTATGTCTGAGGTGTTTTATCCCAAATTTGTAGGAGATACATTTGGCGCGAAGCTATCCAAAAAAAAAGTTTGTTGGCTGTTGCTATGGCAAGAGTGGGCCAATTTTTTTTTCAGATTTTTTCTAATAACTAGGGTGAAGATGTGACATACCTGACAATTTTTAGCGAAATCGGCCAAGGCAAAAAAATCACAAAAGAAATAATACGTGAAAACACTGGAAATCACACAAACACACACACACACAAAGCCACAGAAGTGATTATAAGGGCAATCGTAGCGGAGCGGATCACCAACAGAAGAGACGGACAGGATAGTCGCAAAGACTTCTAATATAAAGTAAAAATAAAATAACGCGACAGCGAATAGCTGTCTTATTCAGTATCTACTTAAGTACAACGCATTGTATTCAAATTAGGTGTTTATAACAACTGCTGTGTTTCTATGCCAGTGACCGACCTTTACCAAAGTACGTACACTAGCAAACTAGTTTTAAGGAGACACAAACACTGTGTCGGTGAGTGCTGATCCGCAACGAAGCATATTGACAGGAAAATTAAGCTTCTATCTTAAGCCATGACTACATTGCCAATTGTGTTTCACACGATGACGTTATTTGCATTGTTATTATTCATATATATTCACAGAGTTGACAACACATCGCCCTCTGACACTCACTAGGGCAAACGTCCCATGGGACAATTGTCCTGCATATTTTCCCAGACAAACGCCCCCGAACTGAAAAAAAAAAAACATGATAATTTCATATGCGACACTCCATTTCAAGTCATTATTCTATCTTAAAAAACTTATTACACTGATTGGCATGACATTGCATTATGGGAATAAAGCTGTGTTACTATAATGATGGGGGTTCACGTGCACTACTTTAGTAAAGATGTTAGTCATGAACATGGGAAGAACGCGTTGTGTTTTTAAGGTAGACTGTAACCGCAACAATAATTATATATAATCTCATGATGTCTTGCACAGGCCTGATATTCATAGCTGAACATAGTCAGTACAATGCGCTGGAATATACCTTCTTGACTTTTTTTTTTGTGGGAGGGAGATTTGTCCGATGCGTCTGTCGGTGGTGGTGGTGGTGGTATCCTACCGGGCAAGCCTAACACATCATACATATCAGTGAAAATATATGGTTTGAATTGTAGGAGCACAGAGCGTCGTGTGAATTCTGCGTTATAAGTTGTCCCGTTGAAGGATGTAGTCAGGAAATACAAAGACGCAACCTGTCAAGACATAAAAAGGACGAATGTTATATGCGTAATACAAAATGTCAACACTGCAATGATGACTTCATATATCGCGATCTAAAGGTATTTCATAATCATTAATTGTTGGTTAATGAATGCACACTGACTAAATAGTACATAAGTGATACACATTGTCTTCTTAGCGAAATGTGTGAAAGCAGCACACCAACAATGTTTTTAAAAATTTGATATTTATTTGCATTTGAATGAAATAAATTATATTTTCAAAAGAATTGAATACCTTATACATTACTTTTATTGTTCAGACTCATCATACCCGTTGCCTGAAAATGAAAGTTTCTTGCGATTGGTGTGGAATTGTAATGTTACGAGAGAAGGTGAGTATTACCATGTGATGAAATGGCATAAACAATGAAACACTCATCATTGCTTACAAATAGACAATTACTACGTTTTGTCAAAACAGAAAGTTACAGACATATAATGTTTGCTATATATGACTGAATGTTCACTAAAATATAGTGTGGATATTGTTTAATTGAGAAACTAAACTGTAAATCTTGAAATTGCATCCTTATATATGGAAATACCAGATTGCAGACCACAAAAACACTGACACTGGTGACTGTCCAAAAATGAAACTAATCTGTGAATTCAAACAAGTGGGTTGTTCGACATTGGTAAGTGAATCAAATCTGAATCAAATGAGATTTATGCTATATGCTTTACAATATATATTGTACCTTTGTCACACAATGGCAAGTTTGTGATTTGTTAACAATAAGTAGTTATATTTTGTAAATCATCCATCAGTGATTACTACGTGGTATAAAACACAAATAAACGCGCCATTTCGCTGTTTATTTACTTCTGGAAATTCCATTATAATAAAGAATGATCTGTATATTTTAGATAGAGAAGGACGAACAAAGTATCCACAACAAACAAGCTGCTCAGCACCATATACATCTACTGCTCCAAACGATACTGGCGATGGATAAGATGAAAGTTAACATTAACGAGTACAGTACACAGATTCAACAGATGACAACCTTGTTAGAATCGCAGAAAACAAAAATTCAGAACTTGACGCAAACAACGGGAAATCTTGAGAACCAGGTAGGGCAGTGTGCTAATCAGCTAGCCAGAAAAACTGTCGGAGCTGGAATGAAAGAGGCGGTTAATAACTGGCAGACAAAGATAAATGAATTAAGAGCAAACATTGTTAAGTTAGAAAAGAAGCTAGAAACATATGAGGCTATAGTGTCTGTGTTATCACGCGAAGCAGAATGCACTGGTGGTAATTTAAAGTTTGTGCAACGCCAAGGAGATCAGTTTAAAGAACAAATTCGGATATTAGAAAATAATTGCAAATCACAAGATCGAATAATAGCACAAAAGGATGTCTCATTGGCGGAACAAGATGTACGGATACAGGCACTTGAGATGACGTCATACGACGGTATATTGCTATGGAAAATCACCGATTTTGCTAGGAAGAGACGTGACGCCATTTCCGGCCGTACACCATCTATATATTCTCCGTATTTCTTCACCAGTCACCATGGTTACAAATTATGTGCAAGGCTCTATTTGAATGGGGATGGTATGGGGAAGGGAAATCACGTATCCCTGTTCTTTGTAGTGATGAAAGGGGAGTATGACGCAATCTTAAAATGGCCATTTAGACAGAAAGTCACTTTGATGTGGTTGGATCAATCTAATAGGGAACACGTGATCGATGCGTTCCGACCAGATCCCTCATCGAATTCATTCAAACGTCCAACAGGTGATATGAACATTGCATCCGGATGTCCTTTATTCATGCCACTCAGTGTTATTGACAATCGTAGATGCGAATACGTGAAAGATGATACCGCATTCATCCGTATTATTGTCGATATAACTGACTTAGTTTAATTCCTTATATTGCATTTCATACGACTCTCGTTTGTTTGATCTACGGTTCGATGTGTAATTTCTAATGTTGTTTAAACAAAGTCCGTATAATGAAATACAGAAGTAAAAAAAAACACAAAAACCAAACGACTGACAAGATTTGACAATACAATCCAAAAGACCAAGACAAACAGAATTTTACCAAATTACGTAGTCAAATCTGTAAGAGAGTGTGTATGGCCTCTATAGTATACACAAAGTAAGGTCAGATCACTAAATTTGACATGATTGAAAGATGAAACTGTTGAAATTCTGCTATAAATACACGTATACCGGTATATATTATCCGGGAAATAAAACTGAACATTAAAATATTTGAAATTACAATTTACTATAGACAATTAAGTGCTTTTAAGAACAAAATGTACTTCATATAGTGTATACACAAAATAAATGCTACTAACTGTCCCTCTATTTTAGTAATTGTATATATTCTAAAATATTATTCTTGGATATTGATTGTTAAATTCCGTTTAGGTATGGTTAGTTAAACTGGTAATTCAATAATTTTGAATATAGCTTTATGAGTATTCAGAATTTAATCATTCATACCACAAAAGTCTATCTACAAAATGACTTGAGTTTCTGGTGACTATTTCAGGTTATATTCACGTTTCGTCTTCATGATTTTTTTTTAGCTTTGAATTGGTATGAAATGTGCATATATTGTCAAAGCCTTGTAGGACTATCAGCATTTTTGTCGCATTCGTTAAAAATGAGAATATAACATAGACATTGGTACAAAAATGAAGATTCATATGATTAATAGTAGTATGTATATAGCGAATAGTAACGAGATCTAATGAGCAAACAAAAATATATACCGACCAGTAACGCGTATCGGACTAGTTTCCCTGTGAAGTCTGCTGAACGTTCCTATAATTTTCTTTGGTCACTTCGATCATTTATCTGATCGATTTGTGCATTTGTGCAGAATGGAATCCCTTGATGCTGCAAATACATTTTTTGTGTCAGCTAAAACTTATGCATCGACCACACACAATTACTGATTTAGCGGCAAATACAAACTCCAATGCACACTGCTACTAATAACATTCATTTGGGATAAACTCTAGTTTTCTTCTTCCTGCAGAAACAATTTTGTTTAAGAAAGTATTTCAGTTCTGCTTGTAAACTTGTATATATGTCTTATATAAATGCAGTGTCTAGGTTGAAACAATGAATTTAATTTCTATGTATATATCATATAAATATTATTCGTTTTACTCTGTAAATATTGTATTATGCAAATAACATATTCGCGCAATAGTGCTCTGATGGACTATTTCATGCTACCCTATTTAAATAAAATAAATATTCAATCAGTTTTCGAGAAATGTGTTCCAGTTATACATTGTTCATACATAGATACATAATCATGACACATTCCTAGTTAGGTGTTTAGGTTGAAACATGGCGTGCGTTTTTTTATCAATTGCTTGGGCCAGTTTCAGAGAACTGTACTGTTGTCAATATCATGAACCTATATATATGCTTCCATCGTAAAACATATCTTTGCGGTTTTGCAGTTTTTATTCAATTTCTTTCAAAGTTCAATATTATAACCAGTTTGGTTTTGCGTTTCCTGTTCTGTGTATATTTTCAAGATATTGAATTTCACTTCAAATTGTTGCAATACCACCTATAATAATATACTATTTGTAATAACATTTTAATCATTTGTAACACTAAACATACTTGTAATAACACTCAACCTTTTACTATTTTGTTCACACATTTAACAATTAACCCTATTCATATTACCAATGTTTTTGGAATAATAGTTATTTCTTATTGTATTATAAACTTTATCTGTAACAATGATTAACGCTGTCAGCATCCTTTGAACCCTGCAAATAGAAGTGTGCATGGAATCGTGGGAAGAAATACTGTACATTGCCGTGTAATAACTGTCATAAAAGTGATTAACAGGTCATGCTTGTTTTCAACTCTGGAAGGACAATTGGAATCTACCAGTTGTAATTTACATAACAAATGATGTTTACAACTGTGGAAAGACAATTGGAATCTACCAGAGTTGCTTGTGATTTACATAACAAAGGATGTTTACGATCTACAGAGTTGCCTACGCTCGACAGCTGCTAGCAAGACCACATTCTGATTAGTTCATATTATAAATCATAGTCTAATCTATCTGTCAATACAGAATATCAAACAAAAACACTAAAAAATACATGTTCTCATTTACATTGCATCTTTAAAGTTAAAAGAATACAATATAAGATGTATGTAAGAAAAATAACCTATACAATAAAATATACATGCCATTCAATACAACTGATTGTAATGTGATTGAAAAAAGTTTATTCGATTTGAAAAAAAAGGTTGACATTAAATAAAACTCTTATGGAAATAATATAAAGTGACATGAATATAGGTAACCTACTCTACATATACAGTCCTATATGACTGGCAGTTTAAAGTTCTATGGGAGTTTCATAATCCCATAATTCTATGGGAATTTCATAATACAGGACCTATGATCTCATCCTATAGAACATATGATCTAATGCATTAGTCCTATTTTTAAGTGAAATATGGTTGATTGTTATTAAAAAATGGGGTTAACGTTAGTATTACAGATATGAGGGAACCGAATCCACGACCTTCAATACGCAAGAACAATTCGAACACACAGCCCACTTTACTGCCTAATGCAGCAAACATTTATCATGTCAACGATCATCATTAATCTGCATCTCAGCAACACACTTGACAGAACTAACCTCACTGAAAGGCGTTGACCGAGTCGTTTAAATCATGAGAACTGATTAGTATGTTGGCGACATATCGCTGTTTACACGCTTAAATTGAACTGTAACTATAAAATTGACCAAAACAGAAACAATCTTCTGCGCTCGTGCAAACATACTACCAATAAATACTTGTTTATCACGTATACAAACAGGAAGCATTATTCATTGGTGTAATCCATTGAATTATTTATTTATTAGGGTAAGTAGAGTAGGAGGACTGACGGATTATCGACCTTGTTTACTGTTTAAATGATTTATATTAATTGCGTCCACGCACAGCTTCTTATCCCTTGCTAAGAAATCGTACGTGAACGCTTAGCACGGGCTAAGAAATGCTAAATACGGATTAAATCTGGCCTGTTTTTAAGACTCGGTCCATATACTTAGCACGAGCTAACGAGGTGTGCGTGAACGCTTAGCTCGGGCTGAGCACCCACAACGCAATCGTATTAAATGTTCATTTGGAAAATGTTCTTTTATACTCATAACTATTCAGTTCGGAATGCCATTTCCGACACGAAAATCAATGCGAGCAAATCTACGGACATTGTTCTTGACAAAAATAGACTAACGATGAGACTATGTGGTACTTCCTGTTAATCTGCAATCTGCACTTT